AACAACATCCTCTCCTGTTCCCACTCCCAAAAGAGCTCTGAAACCCCCATGTTCCACTTGTCCTGGGAGAGAGCTCTGTTGACAGAGCAGAGGCAGCTCAACAGGCCATGCACGGGGCACATACTGGGCAAAGTAGTTCCTCTCTAGCCTCTTTTCCTCCACTATATAAAGCCCAACCTTCCCCAGAATGTTCCCTGGCCAGAATTTTGAGTGATGTAAAAAACTCAGCTTCAGGGGCTCTAAACCAAGATATTAACAGCCTGCTTGGTATCAGGGCAGTGTGAGCCCACCCTGTGCTAATTTGCCAGGATGAGAAATGGGACTATTCACCCAAACACTCCTGGCTAGGGATGCTGCTTAACGAGAGGAACCAGAGACCACTGTTAGATTTGTGACACTTCTTTGTATACATTATACCTTGTGATTTGTCTATTAACTTCAATATAGAGTGTGAGTTCAAACATTTCCAAAAGATCATTTTGATATTTTTGCTAAAGAATCCCTTCATGGGCTAGAGATATAGCTCAGTGGTAGAGGGCTTGTTTACCATGATCAAGACCCTAGGTGTATGTATAAAATGTCAAAATACACTCTACTATCATAAATATCTAAAAAGAACAAATAACAAAAATTTTAAAAAAAACTTCTGGGTTTGTTCCCCAGCATGGCAAACAAAGTAAAAAAAGATGACCTCTTCAGGTACTATGTAACCATTATGATGTTAACAAAAACAACAGCTGCCAGTTATTAACCTCTTACGTACCAGGACCCAAGAAGAGAAATTTAATCTCACAGAGTACTTTAATCTCATATTTTAAGGAGAGGAAAGCAAATCTTAATCATAGTGCTGTAAAATCATCATCATCATGCATCTCAATACTTTTCTTTAAATATTTCTTTGGGAGCAAGGACACCATGCTTTCAATTAAGATAAACATTTTTATGGTTCAGATATTTTTTGTTTGATTTGCTTTCACCAACTATAGCTCAGGCTCCTTTTCATTGGTTCTCATCAAGTGCACTTCTCTTGATAGTGCAGGCCGGCACTTCTGTTGAACCCAGGAACTTTTCTTTCAATTAATTATTCATGTTTGGAAAGTTTTCTGATATTATCATTGAATAGGTTGTTCCTTTGGTTTGGACCTCTATGCCTTCCTCTATCCCAATAACTCTTAAATTTGGTCTTTTTTATGCTATCCCATATTTCTTGAATGTTCTCCTTGTAGTTTCTTACCATTACCACTGTGTAGTCTATGTTCTTTTCAAGATTATATATTTTATCTTCACTGTCTGATGTCCTATCTTCCAAGTGGCCTACTCTGTTGGTGATGCTTTCTTTTGAACTTTTAATTTGGTTTATTGTTTCTTTCATTTCAAGGATTTGTTTTTCTTTTTAGAACCTCTGTCTCCCTGTTGAGTTGATCTTTTGCTTCCTGTATTTGTTTATGTAGCTCCTTGTCAAAGTGATCTTTCACTGCCTGTATGTGCTCTCTTATATCTTCCCTAAGTTCAAAGAATATTTTAACCATGTACATCTAAAACTCTTTCTCTGTAATTTTTTTCTGTTGTAGCTGCCAATGATTCTAATGATATGGCGTCTTGATTTGTTTGGGGCATTTTCTTCCCTTGTCTTTTCATGTTGCTCATGTGTCTTCTTTTCCAGCTCTGTGGTCTGGGGTGTTATTGTTTTTACCCTATAGGTTTTTACCCTATAGGTTGGTAGTGCTCTTGTAGAGTTCCAAGACCTCTTCTTTGTGGGGAAGGAGAATGTTACCAGATCCCAATATCAACAATATACCACCTATGAACAATTTTTTATTGTTAAGATGTTTACAGTTTACTATCAATGAACAGAAGTGTTGGATTCAATTATTGTCTAAAATATAATCAGTAGTTTTGCAAGAATGTTTTCAGTTTCTGATGGTGGACAATAAACTGGGGGTGGGCGTAGGACGATATGCTGAGGAGGTAGGATGTGAGGATATAGAGTTAATGTATCTTAGGAAGTGTGAAAGAGAAATCTAATGAAGAGGGTTAGTAGCAAGAGAATAGACAGGAAGTAATTTAGGGTAAACAAGTACGTGAGATGACAGTAGAGTACATAAAACAAACACACATATGTATTTAGAAAAATACATATGTTAAAATAGCAAAATTTGGAGGGGGAAAGAAAAGTGAAAGAAGAAAAAAGAGAGAAAAGGGCATATCAACACCTTTATATTATATTATTCAGATGACTCAATCCTCAAAATCCTGTTTCATGCAAAGTTCTTGGTTTCACATATTTGGGGATATGAGGGCTGGAGGATAGAGGGGTAGAAGAGAAAAAAAAACTGAAAAAAAAATACTCGAAGGAAGAAACCAGGGTTGTTGCTAGTTTTAGAGATCCATCTCTTTTCTGCTTCTCTTCTCATCCAATAAGTGGGGTTGTCTGTTGTAAGCTGGTGCCTCTGCCCTCAGGATGGTGGAGGTTACCATTGTGGGAAGGCTGGTCCTGGTGTAGGGCACCTGGAAGCGGGAAGTGCCACCTGCCAGTCCCTGCAGGAAGATTGCACTTCATGGGTCTCTTTTTGGGACTGCTCCTATGATTTGAGTGTCTGGTACTATCTCCCTCTCTTGCTTGGAGATTTCCCAGTTCCTGGTCTCTCTGTTAGGCTCCAAAGTTTAGCCCCATCTCCCTCTCCCTTAGCAGTTCCCAACTGTGGAACCTTTCCCACCAAGGCTCACACCAGGTGGGCAGTGCCCTGGTCACACTGCACACCCACCCAACTGAGAGCTGTTTTTGTGTCGGGTGGTTACTGTGTTGAGTTATCACCACTGGGGGATGGGGGGAGTTGGATACCTGGTACCTGGCCAGATGGGATCTGACCTGGGAGCTGCCCCTACCAAATATGGTGAGAAAGATTATCCAAGATAGAGGTGGTCTGCTTCCAGCGCCAGGGTGTCTGGTAAGGTGGGGGGAGCCAGATGATGGCAATGTATTGTGGGTAGGTAGTAGCCGAGTGACCTGCATGGGAGTGGAGCGCAGTCTGGAGTTCTGCAGAGGTGCTGATAGGTGATTTTGCTAAGGCACTTATGAGTCATGAGTGGGCTAGAACTGCAAGCTTTGGGTTTTGGGAGCCAGGAGTCTGGAGTCCTATTCGATGCTGAGACTCGGAGCCCTGCGAGGGGTTACAGTGCTGGTGATTTCTGCGGAAATCAGCTGCATAAGGGTCCTCTCACACTCTCAGAGATGCAGTATTCTGACTAGGTGAGATCTGGATCACAGAGTGACACAGAATGTTGCCTTCCTCTGGCCCGCCAGCTTCCTTCCACTTAAGTTTTTTTAAAGTAAACATCTATTGCTCATAGAGGTCAGCTGAGGCTGAAGCATCTTAACAAGATCACACGACCAGTCAGTGGCAAAGCAGGGACTATACCCAAGGATTGTTTACCTCTATTCCCAAGCCACTTATAAACCTGTCTAAATGAGGACCTACATATTCCAGGGCCTAGAGTAGGAAAACCCAGGAGGGGTGCAAGAGTCATTTTCTACAGTGCTCCTTCCTTCCTGCATGTTGTGCTGTGTGTGGGTTGAGCACTTTGGAGGAATGAGAGGTTCCGTGACCTTCCTTGTCATGGAAGCTTCAGTGATAACAAATATCACTGAAGACAGGTATTGAGACAAAAAAGGAAAGCTAAGGAGCTGAATGATCCACAAACTGGATTATTAGACTTAACCGACTCAGAATTTCTGGTTTCAATATCAGAAATCAGAGCTGGACCCAAAGGTTAAGAAGCTAGTTTCAGTGCTTGGGCAAAATCACCTTTTCTGTTTCATTTTTTTTTAAATATGTTTTTCCAAAGAGAAGAGACAGTCCTAGCATCATTTTACTCCCAAAATTTTAATCCCCCAAATTCAAGCAGTTTAAAGGTGTAAGAAATTTCAAGTGCAATCCAGCAACTTGGGAAGCTGAAGCAGGAGACTCAAGTTTGAGCTCAGCTTTGGCAAACTAGTGAGACCCTGTCATGAAATAAAACATAAAAGGGGTTTGGGACCAAGCTGGGGCTATAGCTCAGTGGCAGAGCACCTGCCCAGCACGTGTGAAGCACTGGGTTTGATCCTTAACACCACATAAAAAAATAATAATAAACATATAAAATAAAGGCATTCTGACCATCTACAACTGCATTTTTTTTAAAGGGTTGGGGATGTAGTTCAGTGGTAGAGTACCCCTGGGTTTAATCCTCAGTACCATTAAAAAAAGTTGGAAAAATAGACTGTATACCAAGTGAAAGCCAGTATTGTAATTCTAATACTGAAATATTAGACTTTAAGGCAATTATTAGAGAAAAAGGAAGAATTTTTATGATTGTTATAATTTTGTATTTTGAAAATTTCCAAATGCATAGAAAAGCAGAGACTAATAAACCAGATGTACCCATTACTCAACAATAAATATTAATGTATGTCCAATTTTGTTTCATATATATCACTAATCACTCTATACTGCCAGACTATTTTGAAGTAAATCCTAGATATCATACAATAAAAAAAAATGGTGCAACTGAAGAATTCAGCCCATTATTAATAGGAACAGTAATGATGATAATGATGTTCCACTACAAAGTGACAGGCATAATGAAAGGTATAGGGTTGAATAAATACCATTTGTTCATTGCCTTGATACCACAGGTTGGGATAAAACATATATTATGTGTCAACCCCTGAGCTAGGCAGTGAAAACCCAGAAATTACCTGAATGTGGTTTATATTCCAGTGGGGAAGCAGACATCAGTCAAGTCTCATTAAAGTAATTTTTTTTGGGGGGGGGTTACCAAATGTCTTTATTTGAAGGAATGGTACAAATTAAAGGACATAAGTGGATGTTTTGGTACAACTTATAGAAAAGGTAAAGGTAACCCCAACATGCATGCACTGCCTTGGTGACCAGGGAAGTCACTTCCATGGCCGTGGGAAAGTCAGCCTAAGGTTTAGCTCTTGTTATCACTTTCTCCCAGGGTGTGCTTGTCAAAGAGATACTCTGCCATGCCCGATTCTGGGGCTCCCATCTTGCAAGGTGGTTAGGTGGTCACCCAATTCTTTGATGGATTTCACCTGCTCATCCAGGTAATGAGTCTCAATGAAGTCACACAAGTGGGGATCATTTTTGCCAGTGGCCAGTTCGTGCAGTTCCAGAAGTGACTGGTTCACATTTTTCTCCAAATGCAAAGCACACTCCATGGCATTGAGCCCACTCTCCCAGTCATCGCGGTCTGGTTTCTTGATATCCTGAAGGAAGATTCGGCCACCTCGTTGGTTCTGCAGCTTCATCAGTTTCTCGGCATGTTCCCTCTCCTCCTGAGACTGGTGCAGAAAATATCTGGCAAAGTTCTTCAAAGCCACATCATCACGGTCAAAGTAGTAAGACATGGACAGGTAGACGTAGGAGGCGTAGAGCTCCAGGTTGATCTGGCGGTTGATGGCGGCCTCCAAGTCCTGGTGGTAGTTCTGGCACACCTGCGAGGGGGACGTGGTCGTCATGACGGGAGGCTGCGGAGAGGCCCGGCGCTGGAGCCTGGGGTGGTCTGAGGGCGCTGTGAAGTGGCGGCGAAGGGCTGCTGCCTCTGAGCAGCCAGCCAGGCTGGGGGTCGAGCGCTGGGTTCCGTCCAAGCACTGTTGAAGCCGGAAACCACCGCGAGGACTCTCGCGAAGAACGTCTCTCAGGTAACTTTCAAAACAGCAAGTGGAAACATATGTAGTCTTTTCAACAAATGATCTGGTACAACTGGATATCTATGTGCAAAAAATGCATCTAGACACAGACTTTACATGCTTCATAAAAATAGATTCAAAATGGGTCATAAACCTACGTGTAAAATGTCCTAGAAGATAGCACAGGTGAAAACCTAGATGAGCTTGGATTTGATGATGACTTATTAGATATGACACTAAAGGCATGATCCATGCAAGAAAGAATTAATAAACTGTACACTTCATTAAATCAAAGATTTCTGCTCTGCAAAATACAGTGTGTCAAGAGAATGAGAAGACAAGACACAGACCAGGGAGAATATATTTTTAAAAGACTAATCTGACAAAGAACTGTTATTCAAAATATACAAAATATACACAAAAAAACCTCTTAAAACTCAACAGTAAGAAAATAAACAACCTGATTTAAAAATGGGGTGAAATGCCATAATAGACACCTCACCAAAATAGTATACAGATAACCAATACTCATATAAAAATATGCTTAAAATCTTATGTCATCAAGGAAATATAAATTAAAATAATAAGGTGCTATTTTACATCTATGAGAATGGCCAAATTCTGGAACACTGACAATACCAAATGCTGATGAGGATGTGAAGCAACAGCAACTCTCCTCATTCTCTACTGGTGAGAATGCAAATGGTTTAGACATGTTGAAAGACAATTTGGCTCTTTCTTACAAAACTAAACATACTCTTAGCATAAGCTCTGGCAATTGTACTCCTTGGTATTTACCCTACAGGAATTGAAAATTTATGTCTACACAAAAACCTAACCATGGATGCTTATAACATCTTTATCCATAATTGCCTATACTAAGAAGTAACCAAGATGTCCTCCTATAGGTGAATGGAAAAATAAACTTTTGTACATGCAGACAAAGGAAGCATTCTTCAGTGCTTAAAGGAAGTGATGAAATAATAAAAAGACATGGAGAAAATTTAAATGCATATTATTGAGAGAAGTTAATCTGAAAAGGCTACACAATGTATAATTCCAACTATATGACATTCTGGAAAAGGCAAAACTGTGGAAACAGTTTAAAAGATAAATGATTTTTAGGGGTTGGATAGTGGGAGAGATGAATAGGACCAAGCACCAGAGCACCAAGGACTTTCAGGGAAGTGAAACTACTTTGTATGATACTAAAATGGTGGATATGTGCTATTATAAACTTGTCTAAGACCATAGAATGTACAACACCAAGAATGAATCCTAATGTAAATTATAGACTTTGGGCTATTATGACATGTCAGTATAGATCCATCAAATAATAAAACATGTATCATTCTGGTGGGGGATATTGAAAATGGGTACGAGACTATGCATATGCATCTATGCTTTCTTCTTCATTGTGCTATGAACCTAAAACTTCTCTAAAAAATATAAAGTCTTTTTAAAAAACCAAGTACCCTGGGATTCAGGAAGGACACATATCTCTGAGGTGAACTTCACACAGAATGGTGGGTCAGGAATGATACTGGTGAGAAGGAATAAAAAGAATCAGCAAGAGAAGGAGTGAGAGTGTGTGTGTGTGTGTGTGTGTGTGTATGTGTAAGCAGGCTAGAGCCATGTTTGCAGAGGCCTGAGACAAGGAACTTGGAGAAGAGCAGAGAGAAAGGTGGTGTGGCTGGAATGAGGTGAAGAGAGGGTAGACAAAGGCAAGGAGGTAAATAAGGTCTGTTTAGGGCAGAGTAAGAGCTTTGAATTTGAGCCTAATAGTAATGCCAGAGGGACACAGCTGTATTATCAGCATTTCTATCACATGGGAAGGCAAAGCAGGTGAGATTTTGGAGATTGTGATGTCTCCATGACTCTTTCCTCACTTCCCCCTGCCTCTGATGTCTAAAATTCCACCACAAGGTGTAATCCTTTTACTCTTCCTACATTTCCCTGTTGATAGGTTGAAAATTCTCCAGAACTCCTGGGGAGGGCTTCCAACACTGCAGCACTCTAGCAATAACTAAGGGATTTGAGAGCAGGCCCTAGGGCATGGAGAAAGTAGAAAGCCTATGGGTATAACAACCTGGGTCTAGAGGGGAAGCTAGAACAGCAAGGGAGGGGGGGCAGGGCTTTGGGTCTATTGTGTTCCCCAGGGTGATTCTTCACTGACAACTGCACTAATTGTGGATTACATTGCTGATACATTATCCATACTGCTCAATTGATAATATTTTGGCAGCTAAATATTTTATGACTGAAGACTCCCAAGGCGAAGGCAACCAATTAGGAAATAGGATGGAGAATCCCCTGGAAGCTCACACCGTGTCCTTCTTTGTGGGCACTACCCTTATGTGTGTCATGTGTCTCTGCTTGGCCTCTGCTCCCAGCATAGAGTGAAACCTCAAGATCAGTCCCCCATCTCATTCTAGCTGTAACTTACCTCTTCCCAGTGGTCTGTTGTTCAAGTCTCTCTTTCTTCTTGCGCCTCAAAGCCAAAGGTCTGCCCTAAAACATTGGCCACAAAGTCTTAAGTAATTTATTTGAAATAAACTTTTTTTGGTAACCCCCCCTCCCAATTCATATGAATGTATTGGTGTTTAAAAGCTAATAATGGCACAAGTTATTTATTTATTCTAACATAGTATTGATTTAAATGCCCACTGTTTCTCCTAAAACCTAAATAGGCACCTATCCTATGATCCACCTATTTAACTCTTGGGTGTTTACCCAAGATAACTCAGTACAAATGTTCATAAAAGCACATGTATGTGAATATTGATTGCATCTTTATTGCCCCAAACTGGAAACAAAGTGACTTTGAACACATAAATTGTAGTATATCCATACAACAGAGTACACTCAGCAATTGAAAGGAACAAACTGATACATGCACTATCATGGATGAATCTCAAAGACATTATGTTGAGCAAAATAAACCCAATATTTAATATTCCTATGATGTGATTGTATGTATATAAAGTTCAAAAGCAAGTGAGACAAATCTGCACTGTTAAAAGTCAGAGTGTTGATTACCTATAAGAGAAGAGGTTATTGACTGGGAAAGAAATAAACAAAATAGGTATTTGAATGTAAGAAAGGCTTTGGGGTGATGAAATTTTTCTAAATCTTGATCTGGGTAATTTACAGGTATGTAGGTAAAATTCAAGCTTTACATTAATGGTGCTGGGAAAACTGGAAATCCATATGCAACAAAATGAAACTGAATCCCCTCCTCTCGCCATGCACAAAAGTTAACTCAAAGTGGATCAAGGAGCTAGATATCAAATCAGAGACTCTGCGTCTGATAGAAGAAAAAGTTGGCTCCGATCTACATATTGTAGGGTCGGGCTCCAAATTCCTTAATAGGACACCCATAGCACAAAAGTTGATAACAAAAATCAACAAATGGGACTTACTTAAACTGAAAAGTTTTCTCTCAGCAAGAGAAACAATAAAAGAGGTAAATAGGGAGCCTACATCATGGGAACAAATTTTTACTCCTCACACTTCAGATAGAGCCCTAATATCCAGAGTATACAAAGAACTCAAAAAATTAAACAATAAGAAAACAAATAACCCAATCAACAAATGGGCCAAAGACCTGAACAGACACTTCTCAGAGGAGGACATACAATCAATCAACAAGTACATGAAAAAATGCTCACCATCTCTAGCAGTCAGAGAAATGCAAATCAAAACCACCCTAAGATACCATCTCACTCCAGTAAGATTGGCAGCCATTAGGAAGTCAAACAACAACAAGTGCTGGAGAGGATGTGGGGAAAAGGGTACTCTTGTACATTGCTGGTGGGACTGCAAACTGGTGCGGCCAATCTGGAAAACAGTATGGAGACTCCTGGGAAAGCTGGGAATGGAACCACCATTTGACCCAGCTATTGCCCTTCTTGGACTTTTCCCTGAAGACCTTAAAAGAGCGTACTACAGGGATACTGCTACATCGATGTTCATAGCAGCACAATTCACAATTGCTAGACTGTGGAACCAACCCAGATGCCCTTCAATAGATGAATGGATAAAAAAAATGTGGCATTTATACACCATGGAGTATTACGCAGCACTAAAAAATGACAAAATCATAGAATTTGCAGGGAAATGGATGGCACTAGAGCAGATTATGCTTAGTGAAGCTAGCCAATCCCTAAAAAACAAATACCAAATGTCTTCTTTGATATAATGAGAGCAACTAAGAACAGAGCAGGGAGGAAGAGCAGGAAGAAAAGATTAACATTAAACAGATACATGAGGTGGGATGGAAAGGGAGAGAAAAGGGAAATTGCATGGTAATGGAGGGAGACCCTCATTGTTATACAAAATTACATATAAGAGGTTGTGAGGGGAATGGGAAAATAAACAAGGAGAGATATGAATTACAGTGGATGGGGTAGAGAGAGAAGATGGGAGGGGAGGGAGGGGGGATGGTAGAGGATAGGAAAGGTAGCAGAATACAACAGTTACTAATAGGGCATTATGTAAAAATGTGGATGTGTAACCGATGTGATTCTGCAATCTGTATTTGGGGTAAAATTGGGAGTTCATAAACAACTGGAATCTAATGTATGAAATATGATATGTCAAGAGCTTTATAATGTTTTGAACAACCAATAAAAAAAATTAAAAAAAAAAAACTATTCAAAGAAAGAAAAAGGACATGGGAGAACTAAATGGAAAGGAATAAGAAATAATTAAATTAAAACTTAATCCTCAAAAAAAAAAAAAAAACTGTACTCTTTATTACAGATTTATGCCTCATTAAAAAAAAAAATCTGCCACCAGGGCACTGTGCAGCTGACTGAGTCCTGTTG